CGCGAAATCCACATGACTAAATTTAAGGGATGAAATCACGAGAGCCACCCGAATCAATTGACATTATTTTTTGCCACGTTCGGAGTAAACGCGACGGGGGTGGCTTTGCTGTTGAATTTATAAAAATCTTTCGCCCCCTGAGACCCGAGCCTTTCACTCGAGCATGTAATAAGGGTTGCACCCTTTTTATTTGTCGCAGGTACAGCACCCAGGCCAAGATGGTCGACACCGGTACCGGGACTCTCTACATTATCGGATCGTTCAAAAGAATGACAACGGATCCCGACTTTAAGGTAAATACGTATATATATATATATATATATATATATATATATATATATATATATGAAATTCGTCTGCCCCTTGCGGTACAGTTTGATAATGGGGGATGACGTTTAGGGGCGCGATTATTTAAATTTAACCAGTCTCGTTGCTCGATAAGGTGCAAAGCATTATCAATAGGGGGATGAAGGATGAGCTGTAAAAGGCCTACAAAGTATATATATATATATAGACGTCTGTGTATTTGGTGTACAGAATAAAAAATATCGGTGACCCCGGGGTCATCGGAGGGGTGTTAATGTTTTATCCACCCCTACTTCGAATCGTAAAGCTCTGCTTGGACCTTTAATTTATTCGGAGTAAGTTTGTTAATGGAAATGTCGAGGGGGTGCTGGGGGGGGTGGCACGTGGGAAGGGGTTGTTGGCATAGTCGTTCCTCGGCTTTTATCGGCCGGCTACAGTCACGTCGGATTATCTCAAGATTATAAGATTTTAAGTTTTGAAATTCTCACTGACCAGCCTTTCAACCCTTGTACCTCGTACTCATTGCGTATTATGTTTATATATACGAAGTTTCAACATTGGGTTTATTTACTATATTATTTTTAAGTAGTGTATATATATAGTAACAATAATTATTATTTTCATTATGTATCATATAGTAATCCTGTACCCATACCTGTCATTTCCTTATCATCGTTTCTCTCGTGAGTCACTTAACATCTCCTGGGTATCCAGCATCCGCCATCTAGCCCCGGAGCAGCTATATTATCGATTCGCGTCCGGTCGTGGTTTTATTCGCGTCGCGACGCTCATTCGGGCGAACGAGCGACGCTCGAACGGTCAATGAGACAATGAAAAATATCCTGGCTTCTCTTGTACCTCCGAGCTGACGTTAAATTCGGGTCATTGATTGGACGTATGTACTTAATACGTTGACACTGTGATATATATATATATATATATATATATATATATATATATATATATATATATATATATATATATATATATATATATATATATATATATATATATATATATATATATATATATATATATATATATATATATATATATATATATATATATATATATATATATATATATGTGTGATAAGAGCGATTTATTATTTAACGTTTCATCGAACTCGTTATCGATTGATTAATAAATTTACGTTCGGACGTATTTTCGACGTTGACTGTACACCCGTATCGCGATAATCGTAAAGAATAACCGCGATTAGGATTAATAAGCTTTTCGTGGATTTCTTCCCCTCTGCAATTAATTCATCCGTTCGGCTATCCAAACTTCCTCACTCGACACCTCGATATTTCGTTAATGTAAGCAGATCCCAATTTCAAGTTTGAAAACTCATTTCGAAACTTTCGTATGTTACACGTGCCAGGCGTATCCGCGTGTTCTATTGGTTTAAGGGAGTTTTGGTTTAACGCACATAAAATTTCAGGGCGGTCCAGGAGGTTCTGAATGAATCTGAATGAATAAATAAACGAAAGATTGATAAGCGTTATCAGTGTACCTTTGATCAATGTAAACGACGAGGATGATCTGAGTTTTTATTCTAGTATTTTTTAAAAATAATTTTGAAAATTTCGAATGGAATATTTACATTCTCAGACACCCATCGTGGTCCTGGAAGACGGATGGTGGTAATGGCTGTCAGAATTCGCATTATCAGTATAGGAATTGGTATACCTAAATCCGTATAGCAAAGCAGGCGCTATTGTATGTCGACAAGGTAGGTAGAGTAGGTAGGTGCTCCGGTAGTTTATGGCGACGGTAAAATGCGAGAACAGTCGTGATAGGATGGGGTTCGCGTATACGCGTAGTCTTGGCGTATGTAGATCAGACAAGAGGAAGAGGGGGTGGGTGGGGTCGTGTTGGATTTTATGTAAGATCTTGATCCCGTGAATCTTTCGCGTATCACGCATATCGAGGTAACCTTTATTTGCAGTAACTTTCCCGTATGGGTTTTGTGTAGGTATCTGTTTCCCATAGACAGTGCTATTGAGCAATAAGTATAGGCATTTTGGTGCTTGGTTCACTAGTGAAGGCATAAAACTAAAAAGTAACAAGAGGATGTATTCGCGCAATGAGGAATTTATGGGAAGTGTCAGTGCTAATATAAATCGATTTGTAATGTGAGCCAATGGCTATACGAACGAGCACAGGAATTATATTGCCTCTGATAGTGAAATTCCCTATGTTGTTGTAGGATTGGGAATAAAATACACTGGGAATTTAACGTTATGGGGAAGAGGGAGATATTGAATTTTCACAGGCGATCTTGACGAGGGTAGTAGTTCTGGAGGTTGTTGATTAATAGTTGAGTGTAAAAAATTTGATATAATTCATCTGGGGTTTTTTCTTCTGTTCAGCTGTACCTGACCTCAAACGTGTCCTCGAGCGACTTCAATATGGGCTACAGCATGACAGGCACCCTGGAGCGCGGCTGCAAGAAGACTAACACCTTCCAAATGACGCACTTCGCGGTTATCCGACGACGCGACTACGAGAAGGCCTACGAGGATCCTAATCCCACCTAGTGCCCGTCCACACCCACACTTTCGGAGTGCGGGGATTGCGAACATTACACGTAGGATGCCCAAAAGAGTGGAGACGCATGAGGGTTGGATGTGCGCATGCGTTAGAATCAACATGGCGTCCGTGCGTTAGTTTCACAACAGGCTGTATCGTCCTGGAAGAAGCGGTACAGATAAAAGCTACAAGATAAAAGATACAAGGATACGCGTTGCTAAATTCATATTTGTAGATACAAAAAAACGTAGGCGCGAAGAGTTTGTTAAATTTCGTTAAGCCGTAACGTCGTCGTGAAGTTCGGAGGTGACGAATCCGAGACCAGTGGCTACATGTTATTTTGCAGTTTCGATTTTAATGCATTTAAACGTAACTCAACTTTCATGTAAGGTATGACATATTTTTTTTTTAGCAAAAAAGAGCCTCGGCTTTATTAAAAACACGTGACATATGGCATCGACTGCCGAAGAATCAATTTCGAAGAAGTGAAACGAGTGGGCATCCCACGAATCGAGCCAAACGTCCAAATGGTTAGTCCATGTAATATTAGATCGAATTATAATTAGTCTGTAAATCGAAAAGGGATGAGAACAGCCAGCGTACACAGGCACACAGTGAGACAGACATATATATGTATGTATGAGAGTGACACGAACCATAACCTAAGCGAACTAAACGAACGTGATCGAATCTTTACCAAAGTACTAGCTCGTAAGTTTTCTCTTGGCGAATTCGTCGGTTACGTGCATCCCCGTCGTATCCTATTGCGCATGCGCAACGCCTGGGTACACGAAACGACCGCTGGTGGCGCCCTAGAAAGCGTTCAAGAGTTATTTGCTTCCTTCGCGGCTCCGAGCCCTAGTGTTACTTTCTGCCGTATATATATATAATCGACTAAAAGTGTAAAAAGGGAATGCGAAAGAAGTATTTACGTAAATATTAATACGGCGGGAAGCTGTGTATCCGGGAGTAAACTTCTTGTCGATTCCGCGCACAGTCTCACGGAACAGTCACGCCATGTTGGCACGGGAGACCTCACGCACGGGATCATCGTATATTTAGGGCAACGTTAACACGATATTTATTTTTGCTAACGAGTAGAAACTCAAGCGTGCCGCGACGATGAATCCCAGTTTGTAATACGATTGTGGTGTTGTTGTTCGGTCGTTCGCTTTGGCTCTTGGGACGAGCGGTACTATGACGCAACGATACTGGCGTATCGAAGCATCCCGACGTCCTTCGTACCGTTGAAGCGTACCCTCTGGAATTTTCACGTGAGTAATAATGAAAATAAACATAAAAATACAAAGTTTGATGCCGTAATGGGAAATTAGTTGGACGCACGTGTGTCGTAATGGGTAGTGCCGAAGCTTCTGTATTTTCGAAATTACAGTGGGCTCGCTTCTTTAACGGTTCTATATGTGTATTTATATGGTGTTCCGATAATCCTCGACCTTGTCAGAATTCATAATTAAGCTTTGCTCAAGTCGCTATGTACGATTGTGAAAACGACTACAGCGCCGTAAACAATGTGCGAAGGTTGTGCGAATTACTTACGCGTCCTCTTGGATGTTATTTTTACGTAAACACGAGAAAGATTATTTCTGTTGAATTTATTTATTTATTTTTTGAGTACACGACTACGACTATACTCAATGCCAAAGCGTGTCGTTAATTAAATATGTCAGTTAGTAAGGAGAAGTAATATAGGATTCTCGGAATTTAATTATAAACGGAACAAAGGTAATTGCTACCTATGAATTCTTCCAGTCGCCACTTTATTTTTCCATGCGTACACGTGAAAGTAATTTTGATTTTTTTAAATTATTATTAACTTTATTTATGCCACTGACACTTTCAACGGGTTTTATCAAAAGGAAAGTAAAGGGAGGAGGAGGTAGGTCGGCCGAGAAGTTTTTTTTATGTCGTCATACTCAATCCGGATTAAAATTAAAAATAATAAGATATATATATATATACATTTCTCAGACATAAGGCTTCTCGGCCAGTTCACAAAGTACGAAATTTGCATGGTTAACCTTTAGAGGACGAGATGATTTTGTTTTGTTCAATTACCACAGTTTTTGACTTGAAGCTTTAATACCTATGCTGGAGTTATACCGTAGGGAAAATATGAAACCGACCTAGAGCCAAAAAATCGGCTTTCCGTCTTCTAGCGGTTAATTACGAATTACATATAAATACGTGTATTGGTATCGTTATTAATTAATACTTAAAGAAATAACATTTTGCGAATTCCTTGATGTTTAGAAGGTTTAGTCTTTACGTAGAAGGTATCGCTTATTTCATAAGTGACGTTATCCTATTATCCTCTAACTAGTCCATGGGTATTTACCTGTAGAGAATAGATTGGGCCACGTAGAAAATGCGCACGGCTAAGCTTGGTACGTTGAGAAGCAGCATCAAGAGTAATTGCCAAAAAAAAAGCACCAAAGAAAGAGAAAAATTTTTAAACTGCGTTTCGATTATATTTTGATATTTTTTCTTCCCTTTTTGTTCTCATCAAAACGAGTCGTCGATATTTTTCATTTGACTACACTGTCGAAAATTGCTGGAAGTGTCCGCCAAAGGATTTAAAAAGTATAAAGAAGATATCGGAAGTGTCTTATTTCACGGTTTTTTTTTTCTAGAGAAAATATTTGTCAAAATTTATAACGGTGAGACTTTTTTGGAATTTAAAGTTTTCTCAAATATGACATTTGATTATAGGTGGTTTGAAAGAAATTTTTTTTTTTTTAATCAATTATTAAGAATAATTGATGCTTTGGCGATTTTTACACATTTCACTATTGTAATTTGATTTTTGAAAAATGGCGGCTCGTTTCCTATTGTTGTATCGACGCACCTGAAATACGTAACTGGTTGATAATTAGCGCTTCGATTCTCATGCTACTAGACGATACGTAGAGGGTGACCCCTATAGTTGCGAATTTTAACTGTACTCGTTTTAGAGAATCGTCTAAGGTACGAGAGAAATAGTCAAAGAAATCGTGTCCTGACTTTTCTGATAGTTTTTAACATCCTAGGATGGTTTAAGCGAAGTACGTCCGATATCACGGTCCCTCCTAACTAATTAGCCGTAGCCCAGACCCCAACGTTGCACGCTTCCTTCGAATCTCTTACCGTCATCGACTATTCTCAGCTGCACGCGGGTCTACTAGTCTTTTTTCATAAGCATATTGTCAATTTGATCGGAGTTCATTATTCGAAAAAAAAAAAAAAAAAAAAAATTCACACAATTTTCTGAACTCACGGTGTACCGAGGTATCTGTAGTATTATAATTAGTCTTTGGTAATAATTTTTTTTTTCCATTAATCAACACTCCAAAATTCACGATAAATGTCTCGGATAAAATTGACAAACGAAAATTATTCTATCCTCGAAGTGTATAGTGTGGTGCTAGAGTATAGGTCGTAGGTCATAGTCCTAGAACAATAGTAACGGTAATAAATCGATGTTTCGAGTCTGTCCAAAAATTAATTGTATCGCGTAGACAAATTTTCAAAATTTTTCAAATTACGTTCTTGCCAAATTGAGAATTGACAATCTTTGCCGCTCTTATTTAATCGTAAATTTTATCTTTTTTTGTAAGCGGCCAAGATCTTCAAGTGGCAATTTTTGGTAGCTCATATTTAAAAAACGGTTTTTCTCCTTGTCTCGCATTGCAACGAATTTTGGATAGAGTTCAGACGGATATGACAGTCGCTTCTGATAAAATGACAACGATTGACAAAAATTTTTTTTTTATTTTCCTTATTACACGGTATACACCGTCCCATTAAATTGTTTACTATCTAGCGAATAAGTTGTCAGTACCACAAGAAGATATTTTATAATTTCTGTTAAAAAAATTTTTTTTAAGATATACTTTTTTTTAAATTCACCGTCGATCGAAGAACTGTCATATCCAAAACCAAAATATTTGACGTAATCAGTGTCTAGTTATCTAGAGCGTAGTGAGAACTGAAATTATCCTTATGATTAAACTAACATTATAATTGTACTGGTCTTAAAATACGAACTGAAAATTCGTATTCAAAGCTATGGCTGTGATCCTTATTAATCATAAAACGTTTAATATTGTATTCAGCATTGTACGTAGATTATAAAGTATAAATATATATATATATATATACATACACACCCACGTATAAAACATAATTATATATACGCGCGTTTGTATTAGTCGTAAATAATTTATATTTAAAAAAATTGTTAACCTTGTTTTTTTTACTTTCAACAAAAATTCGCACGTCCCACTACGTTGTATTCTCAGTGTTATCACCTCGTCCAAGGAATCTTACGGAGAGCCGTAAGGGGTCGTGTGGGTTATGTTTTTTGAGAATTAGGTATGTAATATGTAATTCGAAAAGATTGCCAAGATTTTCGTGTAATCGCGTCTTTACAAATAACGTGTGTCTGCCGAGAATTTCCGTTTACTGCAAAAAAGAAAATCTCCGATCCTCCCTTCGACCCCGTTCAAAGAAAGGACAGATTTATTCTGTTCGAATAAATAATCGAAAATCAAAGTATCGCGACTACCGAACACTTCGCTTGGAATCAAAGTTGTAAATAATTGATAAGTATAAAAATAAAAGAAAAAAACAAGAATGACAGTGCGTACACAAAATACAAGTTAAATTTAATTAGTCAATAGGCTTCGATTACTACAGTAATGCTATTGTATCAGAGTGCATCCGTGGTGCATCCAAGGGACGGGGTGTCTGATAATATTTTTCTTACGTAAAAAAATTTTATTTTCTATAAAAAGAAATTTCTCAGTATTATCGCGCATCGATTTAAATTTTTTTAACATAAATTTTCAAAATTCACTTTTTTGCGATACCGGGTCAATGAGTGGGGAAATTTTTTTTTTTTTCAAAATTTCTTTCGGACACCCTTTCCCCTTGCGCATTAATACACAATTAACTCTACGCAGTAACGTAACGTGAGGAAGATAATCAATGAAAAAAAAAAAGAAGAAAAAAAAATTGATTTATTAACAAAGAATATTCACGGAGCTAAGAACAAAGGGTAGGAACGAACGAACGAGCGACACGCTAAAAATCTCTAGGTTATTGGGAAATATTATGTAGATTAATAAATCCCTATAACAAGATGCTATTAGACGATAACGAATGATAATGACAGTGAATAAAAAATTTCGCTCGTCATTATCGTACCGTGGTAAACGTTTGCGAACGGGGTGGGCATGCAATTTTGAGAGGCCTGCCGAATTGATTAAAAAAAAACAAAAAAAAAAGTAAGAAGGAATGCATAAACAGAAAAATGACGGCGAAATGCGTTAATGCGTTCAATGAGGAAAACATTGATGTATTTTCACTACAGTCCTGTCTACAGTCAATTCATTTTGTATCTATACCTAATCTGTGTATCTATTGTCATAATTTATGCCAAATAAATGTTACATTTACGCAGAGATTTATCATTGCGTCCGAAACCCCCTCGCCCAGCCTGCGAGAACAATTAATTGGGTATTTCGAAAAATCGATTATTCATCAATGACCAGTCAATGGTATAGTTGTAAACTTTTTTAATAATATTTAATTCATTATATATATATACATACACATCCTAAAAATGATTCAGCAGTTTTCCGATCTTATTCACGTCTAACTGGGTACACAGTCTTAGGGGTGGTTTCGAGCCTGTAAACGTGGCACTGACTTAATGAAGCCAATCACGTGACGTCACCACCTGCTGCTGCTGCCGCCGCTGCTTGGTAGCAGCCCTTCATTAGCATCTACAAGCACGTACGTACGTAGCCCAGGAAGTAACGGCGAACACGGATTCACGTAAAGTATGCTGACCCTGTGGAAATTACTCGAGGATATTTATCGCCATTTACCGATCCGCGGTGTAGCACGTGTAACAGTAAATTGCAGAGTATACAGTGACGCAAATATATATATATATATATTTCTAAAAGAAATAAGGATAAGACCGCACAATACCCATAGTGCATTGGACAGTAGAAAAATCCATATTGGTCAGACTCGGAATAATTTTTTTTTTTTTTTTCAAAATTTGTAATCCCACAGAGTCGAATAAGCGTCATGCAATCTTTATCTGAAATAAACATTTAATTATATAGAAAATACTTTGCTGCGTAAATCAAGGATTCAATGTGCATTGCCCGAAACATAAATCCGAGTGAATTTACATAACCGCGCTGTGGTAAATTCGGGCAGGATGCTTTGCATACAAAGGTCTTCCTACCAGTGTTACTAACCATCCCTTGTGTGTACATATATATATATATATAATATAGCACTCTTCTAATTTTCTCTCTCCACGTGCAATATACGCTTGCATTATTTCGAATGCACCAACCACTGTGCCGGCCAAGCTATAGGCCACGTCCACTGGTTCGCTCTTTCGAATTTATGAAGCCGGAGGGTGCAGTTATGACGTCGTACATCCTCGACGTATGTGTGTCACGATAACTGCAATCAGTCAAGCGATAAAACGACCGAATATTTCGCAGTCGTACGAAAGAGCGTTTTGACAGATTGTTCGGGTGCGAGATGAAATTATCGAGAGCCATTTTTTCAGCGGTTTTTCGAAAATTGAACGAAAAAAAAAGTGACGGTAACACGTACCACAGAATGCACGACAAGTGCATTGACTGTTATCGGTAAACGCTTTCACGTTATCTAACATGAAAAATCTGTGTACCTGAATGACGTTCCAGTGTCAAAGGTCAGGCATCACGGCGGCCTAAACCCTTAACGGTGTGCACGGGACTTTGTCAAGCATACGCAACCCCTAGATGATTTATGTTATCTTTGCACGTGCAAAGTCAAATGGTGCCTGAAGGATGAGTAATGCTTTGCTGTTTCTCCAGATGCGATGTTAAACTATGGGGCGAGATAGGTTAGATTATTATTATTATCGTCGTATGGCGGATCTTGAAAAAATATTGTATGTATAACTTTGAGGGATCGTTTTACATGTATGGATTTTATTATCAATCTGTGTCTATATATATGGTGTTATGTATATCGATGTATAACGCTGGACTGTATGTACTTTTAGTTGTATCACGTGACAGGGGGTGATTTTGTATAACGATATATATATATAAATATAACTAAGTGTCTCCGATGCACGGATTCAGATTGCTTGGTTAAATTTCCTGCGTGCACCTTAGCGGCTACGTGAGCGATAATATCGCCATTAGATGTTCTTAATGGGATCTTAACGCGAGGCTGGTTTTACGCGTGAATTATACTTATTACCATACAACGTTTCTGTGATAAGAGCGACGAGAAATATTTGAATGTGCATTAACGAGGAAGTGAAGGGGTCACGTGGTAAGGCGGAGACGGAGGAAAAGTACACTTTTTATTTGATTATAGAAGGATGTGTATACGTACTATATGTTTTGGGAAAATTTTTAATATGAAATTTATGCATCGGCACGATATATGTTATTGGTGGTTAATGAGGATTTTGATGAGAAAAAGTTTTTTTTGAATTGCTCAGAAATTTTGTAGGCGGAACTCGAGCACAGAGAAAAGGCATAGACAAACGGAAATGGCAAGTAGGGCCGAAATGAGAATACGAATGGGAAGGTGGGAGATTGGTCCATCTTGAAGTTCGGTAATTGAGCTGTCCAATGGGAGGATAAGAAGCTGGATGCAACGGGCGGGAGATGGGAGTCTGCGTGGCTTCTATATTACGAAATCGCACGGTACGTTGGGAGATTTGTCGCTGGGAGAGAAAATGTTCTGGGATGGAAAATGTTGAATATTAATTGAGTCGATGTATTTTCGGATTTTTTATTTCCATATTAATTATGTGTAATTGAGAATTCTCTGGGTATTATTATTATATGACGTAGCGAGGGAAAATAAATTTTTTTTTTTTTTCATCAACTATAGACTTTTTTTTAAATTTTGTCTTTCCTCTTCGTTCGGCAATTTTGGTATCGCCGTTAATTTGTTCGACGAGTGACGTAACAATTGTTTAAAAGGGTCATCCAATTAATATGTAGGTTCCCTCGTAGTCACGTGGTAGGTGCAGGGGGGATGGAGGGATATTTCGAAATTTTGTAAAATCTCACAAAATTTCGTATGCTGAACTCGTCAATGGCCTTACCGTAGCTCGAAATAATTGTATTTCAATAGCAGCTAATTTAATTGGCTAGAGATAATATCGTTGTCGGCGCTTTTGAATTACAAACGAGTGAGGATTCCGGCTATTCCGGTATACATTGTATATGTATGTATATACGTAAAGCAGTACCTAAACACAGCCTGACTTGAAATTACATAGAGGAACAAAGTGAAGATATATAATTAGAGTAACGGCACCCTTAAACCTTGACAAGTAAAATGAATTTCTCTAATTAAAATAGCATCCCTTTTATAAATTAACGTTTATCGGTGAAATTCCAAAATAAAGTAAATAAACATAGAATATCATTTCCACTTGATTATTAACCACTTGATAATTTCCTCATTAACGTTTAATTAAATCCCAATCAATAATAAATACGTGTTCGATCGAAACATAAAATATATAATTATAAATAATTGAAAATCACGTAATACCTATGTATTTACATTAAAATAGCCGAAACGAAGTTGAAATAACTCTATAGTAAAATAAGGGGGGGGGGGTGGCAGAAATCGATTCCCTTTGAAACGAAGGGTAGCTGAGTGGCTGTTTCCTCGGAAGGATTTTATTGGCTGAAAGGAGACGGTGAAAAGGACGAAATGGGATAACGAAGGAAGGAAGGAATCGAGAAAGGAAGCATGGTAGATCTTACAGTTGATTTACATTGAATGGCCGCCATTATGCATCGTCTAATTGCATGCCAAAGTACTTAACGAGGTCTCTTTTTGTAAAAGTTGAGGAACGAATCTTGAAGATAGTATAGGGAGTCGATAGAGGATGTCTGGTATCTCTCTCTCTATATATATATATATATTTCTTCTTCTTTATAAAGGATTGAGAATTTTTGAAGATAGATCAATTGGATCATAATCTGAGTGGATCTTAACCAGCATGGATCATGTTGGATCATTGAGTACAATCGCTATATATATATATAGCATATATATATATATAAAGTTTAATGACTTCGCTTAAACCAGTTTTGAGCTTATCTCAGTAGTTTACCCTGTATTTAACGAAAACACCCTTAGCCCAGATCGTTAGTAAAGTTACGAGAACAATGTAGTTCGCTCTCGGTAGCAACAATGGTAAATGCAGTTGGTCGACAGTTCGGCAATTCGCTATCTCCCTTCTCAACGAGCATTATCTCTCTTTTGCTCTCGCTCTTGCTAACGGTCACCATCCCCTTTCTCAAGGGAGCGAACAGTCATCCCCCAAAAAGTAAAGCCACTTGACGGGATGCGTGTGCTCTGACTTCCATTGTTGTCCTCCTTACTTCGTATTCCACGAGCAAGTCCTGCCTTATCCGTGCGGAGCCACGTGGAGGACATTGTCCTTGAAGTTGTTGCGTCAAGTCGGTAACGTAGGGATCGAGTGACACTTTAGCAAGTTACCATCCCAATTTCTTGTACAAGGCTAACCCGGCACCGGATTACCCAACTCGACTGTTTTTCATCCCCATCTCCATCCCTAAGGATCAAATATTTTGATGTAATTTCCTATCACTCTTCCACGTACATTATTCGTCGTGGCTCGTGGTCGTATGGCCTACCCAGTTCATGTAAATATACAGGGTGTCGAGGAAACACGAAATACCTTGCATCTATCTTACCCTTATTTTTTTCTTGAAATATTCAACGCGACCAAAGCTCCATCCACCTCTTGGTGCTGTCTGGCTTAGCAGTGGGCGTACCTACTGTAGCACCTCTACGTATCTTTCCGTGAGCTTCCTATATATATATATATATATATACGAGGTCAAACTGACATTCTCTCCCTTGGGGAATACTAACTTTCCGGTAGACCCCGGGTTAACCTCTGACCTTCCTTTTTTCCTTCCCCCCCCCCCTCTTTTTCCTACACCTTTATTCTTCTCTCCCATACACTACCAACTACTAAATCCCATTATCCGCCCACTCTGACATTAATTTTTATGGGGGTACTTTTCGCGATAACTTTTAGACGCGCGCCTTCAGTCCCCACCTGTCACGCGTTCTTGCAGTACACCCGGTATATAGATCCACGCGGTTTCTACCCCCATTTAGCTCAATATGTTTTTTTCACTAATCGCGAACAAACTTTAACAGAAAAATGTCTGTCTGTCGGTCGATCGACGTCGAACGCAAGGTGTTATTTTTC